TGTTAAAACAAGAATCCCACTGCTATCCTCAGGGAAGGGCCCTTCACTTTGTATACCCCTATTTTCTCTCGCTCTGTCAAAATCTGAATTGATGAAAAGCAGCTGAGAGACCTTGCCACCACAGCAGTTTTCCATCACTCTGCAAGATTCAGCCCAATGTGAAGAAATTTTTTTTTTCTTCTAGCTTTAGGCAGTTTGAAGCTTGAATATGAAAGAAAAGGCAGCAAGTCTAACATGGGGAAAGGAAACGCCTATTTGTATGGCTCGATAGCTCCTAATTAGTTTCGTAATATTTAAACAAGGCCCACAAGCATTGACAGATGCCTTTCTGCAAATATAAGTGGATGCATAAATGAAATAAGAACAACATATTCAAACTGAAGAGAGAGTCCTATCTAGATGGCTGATGGTTTGGGTTCATTTTAAAGTGTACATTGGCTGGTCACTCCTTGCTCAGGTCCACACAAGCAAACCTGCAGCTGGGAAAGGCTGCCTTCTGGCAAAGTCAGTCCTTGAGGACCCACACGTTTTTTCATAGAATAATTTTCCCTTAGGAAAAAACAAGCAAACAAAACCTTGCTTTCCCAGTGGAAGTCTTGAAAGCAGCATTGTATTTTCCTGTCCACTGGTTTTATAATCGCTAGCTCTACGGCATAAAATGGTTAGCTTGCTAATCAAGTGCTTCATAGAGGAGCAGACTTTGTGCTCACATGCATCCAGGACATGTCTACACTTGCACATACAATTTTAACGCTCGGTGCTAATGTAAGAACTGATATTTTCAGTCTAGATAAGCCCGTGTGTTCACTACAGAGCAGCAAGCAGCGTGGTTTTGCTGCCATCAAGTGGAAACCTGTCCTACACGTTGCTGAATTCCAAATGTCTTCCAGGAGCGGTAAAGATAACTGTATTTCAGGGCTTTACTAAAAATATTGGAGTTTCTTAACACCATACTGACAGTCTCCAGCTGATAAATTATACATCTGCAGATTAATGGGACAGATTTAACGGTAAACACTCTCAGGATCTCTGGCAACCTCCAGTCACCATAATAACATGGGATAAAATCTCTCAGTACACTCTGCAGATATATGACCATGTCATATTTTAAATCCCAAATTATAACAGATGTCTGGCAGTTGTAGTGGAAACAGAAGGGGTTTGGGGGCCTTTCAAAATGACAGTGAGAATGGAGAACCTAGCCCTTGTGATGACACAGAAAGATATTTCAGTATCTACAAGTTGATAGAGTATCATAAAATTTACCTATGAGCTGCTGGCAAAAAGTTAATTTAGGGTCCAGAAGTTTGGCACTAGTCAGCATGCATTACTTCATACAATTTCTGTCTTTTTCGCAGCTTTTTTTTTAGCGTTCTACAGCAAAGTTTATCAAAGCTTCTGTCTTTATAGCCAATTCACACTGAGTGAGAAAATGCAGCTCACTGAGACATGTTGGTTCTTTTCTTAGCCTGAAAAAGTTGCTTAAATCACTGTCCCCAGTTTTCAGAAGAGGTGCATGGAATAAATGAATTTTATGCTTTTTACAACATTTATTTCTCACATAAGATAAACTAAATATCTTTTAAGTTTCTAAAGGGAAAGAACCAAATTTTTGCCTCCATTCACAAAGCTATTTTCTCTCCAGATTAGTGAAATACGAAACATACTTCCTAGTGCCTTTTTTACCACAGTGCTCTTACTAAAAATAACAGTGGAGATACGGACAATACTCCCCTCTAGGGGCAGAAACAGAATTTGCAACATTCAATTCAGCAGTGCATCGTTTGTAAACGACATGACCAAAATAAAACCAATAGGGCCTACCAAATCAAAGACAGTCAGAATTATTAAGTCACTCCCTGCAGAGAACGCTGCTGCCTATGCAATCTGTCTAAAGCACATGTTGTGTTCCTATATTCATACAGAAGGGTTTTAATTCTGCTTGTATATAGAAGACCATTTATCAGCTTTTCCTAGCAACATATATCCCATCGACTTCTGACCTAGACAACATATCATCAAATGCAATATGCAAATTTCTCTTTATAAGTAAACACATGTATCATGAAAATGTATGTACTGACAAGTGCTAAAGCTGGAAGTTTGCTCAGCTGATCACACTCGGTATATTTGGAAGTCAAATAAGATGGAAGGTCAGCATCGGCTCAGCTGCTTCCCTCCTCTTCATTCAGGCAGCCAGATGCGAGGTTGGAAAAGCAATTCAAGCATCTCTGTCAATGACAGAGGGTCCAATTCTCCCTGCACGGATTACTCCTACGTACAGTCTGGGAAGCTTGCAATTCCTCCTTGGAAACGAGGGGAATGCAGAGCTAACAGAGGGTTGTCTCCACATCCCCAAATCCTGAGAACAGAGTAAGCCTGGTGGGAGCTACAGGAGATGGGGCTTATGCCCCATCTAAGACCCAGTACCTTCAACCCATGCAACCCCACTGGGACAAGAAGCTTACCCCCTCGAAACATCTGACACGGCCTATCTTCTCACGGAAAGCCATGCGAGGTAGCACTGCTGAGCCGTTGCCTTCGTCGGGACATGGGAAGGCAGGTGAAGGGGCTGGCTGCATGTCACAGCCACCTCTGCACAGACTGGGACCAGATCCCCAAAGCCAGCTCGCAGCGGAGCATCGTTCACGCTGCTGAAATGCCCATTATGACAAACTTCTATCCCTAAAGTAGCACAACTCCGTGCACGTTACAAAAGCAGTCTCCTGACTTGTGTTTAAACAGAATAGCATAGACACTCTTTTATTTTTAAAGTCATTACTTGCAATAGTGGAAGGCAAGCTATTTAAAAAGCTTTGCGCTCCATTTCTTATCACATACACCATGGTTAGTGGGAATTGATTTCCACACACATGCACACCCACACACAATACTCTACCAAAAAAATCCCCAAAAAAGCTATGTTGCATGTTTTTTAGGTTACAAAAGCATTCTGTGTTTTTCTGTAGCCTACATAAACATCAATCCCGAAGAACTTCCCCCCTATGAAAACCAGCGGCAAAGGGACTGAGTGGGACAATGGCAAAGCCTGTGTCAAAACCCAATTTTTTCTCCAGAAGCAGGGCACTGTTTTTTCCTCAATATACCTATAGCCTGTGGCACCCAATGTGACAATACTCTGCCATGGTCGCAGGAGAGGCACCTCCACAGAGTAACTCAGATTCAGGAGCAAGCTCACCTAGGTCTCACTCACCCAGGTCTTGCTCCACTGCCTTGGGTGGCTCAGCTTGTGGCCTCATGAACTGGTGCTTTGCTGCATTCCTTCAACACTGCAAAACCCAGTGCTTGCACAGCAATAGCATGCCTGCTGCCACACGACATCATGGTTTGCTCCAGGCTAACTGCTAGCCTGCTCTGGACCTTACACAAGTGATTGACACAGGTGATCTGGAATTGCCTCTGCAGCAATATCTGGAGTTGTATAGTGTAGTCCTAGAAGCTGGTTTTAAGGTCAGCACTACCAATATTTTTGTGAAATAAAGGTTTCTCTGATAGTTATTCTGACTTTTATTCATTTAAGCATGTATGTGTGTCCTCACATTGTTTCAGGAGTTTATTATAGCAGAGACCACTAACCTGGGGCTAATAAGAACTGCAGTACACATAGCCAAAAACTGGGCGTGTGTGTGTTCCTCCTTTTAAGCGCAACCTCTATCATGTCTAAGTCTTCTTAGCACTAGTGCAGTTACAAGTGTGATGGTCCAAAGCTGTAAGGATTTACATAAGGATATCTTTCTTCTCCTAAATCTCTTTTGCTTTTAAAAGAAGAGATCTAAGTCTGGGGCCTAAATAAATAAATTAATAAAACAGGTCAGAAGAACCTGAAAGAAAACTTGGGAAGCTCTAAGTTCCTGCATATGAAAGTCCAGCCTTCCTGTGCCCCGACAAGTCTTAACCACTCGGTCCCAGGAGCGAGCTCGAGGCTCACCCTCCCAATGTGCAGCCGTGGATGGCTGTTGGCTTAGCCCCACAGAGCTGGCCCCACAGCAGGACGGGGCGCCGGTGGGCGCTCAGGTCCCCTTTCTCTTTGCTGGGGGCTACCTGCTGAAAACTCGGACATCTCAGCACCTGACCTCATGCTCCTGAGCACTTGGCCATGTCTCAGGCACCACTCTGGGCTCGTATGCGAAAAGCTTAGAATAACACTTCGTTGCTCTAGAGGTTTTTCCTTTCATCTCTTTTTTCAAGTGTTGTCCTTATGACTATGCTCTGGGAGAAAACCCTGTTGAAGATAGACGGCAGTCTTAATTACTACAGGCTAATTACCTTTAATGAGCAAATTGCCATACCCCGATGTGGGATTTGGCCTGAGAAGAATTTCAGACACTCCTCCAACATCACCGATATTATAACTTATATCTAGGTTATACGATGATGAAGCTCGACAGTATCCTCTAATCAGATGAGGAACATGACCCTGAAGATCTGAGACAGTGATTTGCTTCTCTGCCAATATAATGTGCTGGCTTTGTTTTCAGGAAAGTACTTGCTAAAGCAGCTTCACAGTGCTGCTAGCTTATTTCATTTATCCCTATGATGATTTGCCTTTTAACACTATTAATGAAATCGAAAAAATAATAATAAAAGCTCCAAGGGTTCAAGATGTACTGCCCCAGAACAAGATCTCAGTTTCTGCCCTTGGAGGCAGTTCTCCTGCAATCAGCACTGCAGCTGCAAATACTAACAGTAAGAGAGAACAGATCTTCATAAAAAAACTGGACTGAATCATCAAATCTGTTGAGAATATGCCTTCCATTTAATCAAAGGAAATATTTAAGCGCTAGCAGTATTCAGAAGCTACAAATTAATTGGTACTTGTAGGCAGCAATTATGTTTTCTACTTTTCTTGATATTCACATAAATATGTGTGAAAGATTGGTTGCCCAGCTTTACTATGAGTGGGGGAAGTGGCGCTCCCCACACGTATTTGCAGAGCCTGTTAGGAATCTGCATTGGAAGAAATCGATCCCGGGTATTACCTCATGGTATACAGCAGGGTGCCATCATCCTCCAGGCGCAGAAGTTTGTTTGGGGTTGTCATGTTGTGAGCGATAGACTTCTTGCCATTGTGGAAAAAAGTGTCCGGGGTCCAAATCTTACTGGCGAGCAGGTTGTTAAGAGGGAGGCGTTGCATAGGGCCTTTGAATCGCAACCTTTCGTCTTTCCAACTTTGTCGAAAAAAGACGTCAATGGTGTATTCCTGGCACAAAGAAACAGTGAAGGTATTGCAGGGTCTGAATAGGAGCGATGGTTCCAAAAATGATTTTACAATGGAGTTGGCAGCCATGCACTCAGACTTACCATTTCTGTGTCTGACACAGGGCCAAAACTGGTAACATAGATGTCTGTTTTCACCTGAGTTATTCTCTCTGTAATAAATGCAGGCTGTGAATTAGTATTTGCTTTAAGGCGCAAATATGTGTTTCTGATGCATTTCTCTATTAACAACTTCTGAATCACTCGAAAATTCCCAAAACCTTGAAATTAAGATGTTTGAGGAGGAATTTCATCCCTGATCAAATTCAGTTGTTGAACCTTGGGAGCCCATGCTTTCTTTTTATAATCAGGAGAAAGAAAGAGGCCTTTCAAGGGTGCAATTCCTCTGACCAACAGGTTTTGATCATCGAATCACAAACTGGTTTGGGTTGGAAGGGACCTTAAAGACCATCTAGTTCCAACCCCCCTGCCATGGGCAGGGACACCTTCCACTAGGTCAGGTTGCTCAAAGCCTCATCCAGCCTGGCCTTGGACACTTCCAGGGATGGGGCATCCACAGCTTCTCTGGGCAACATGTTCCAGTGCCTCACCACCCGCTCCGGGAAGAACTTCTTCCTGATACCCAATCTAAACCTCCCCACTTTCAATTTAAACCCGTTCCCCCTTGTCCTGTCACTACAGGCCCTTGTAAAAAGTCCCCCCCAGCTTCCTTGTAGCCCCTTCAGGTACTGGAAGGTGCTATAAGGTCTCCCCGGAGCCTTCTCTTCTCCAGGCTGAACAAGTCCATCTCTCTCAACCTGTCCTCATAGCAGAGGTGGTACAGCCCTTTGATCATCTTCGTGGCCTCCTTTGGACTCACTCCAACAGGTCCATGTCCTTTTTATCCTGGGGGCCGCAGAGCTGGATGCAGTACTCACAAGAGGGTCTGAACCACCTCCCTCAACCTGCAGGCCACACTTCTTTTGATGCAGCCCAGGATACTCATATTGGATACCTAACATAGAATGCACTGCAGTGTATCTTGGAAAGACCTATTCCCCCTGCTGGCATGAGTTATCTGCCCAATTTCAGATATCTATATTCTAGACCACAGTTACATGAAATTAATTCTAAAATCAAGACACTAAATCTTTCTGGCATCTTTTCAAATCCAGGACTAATTTAATTTAAGGGCAGAAATTTCAGGAGTTCGTTACATAAGATATGAGCATCGAGCCCTATTTTCAAGCATGTCTGTGTAAAGTGAGAGGAGAAGGAGAGAAAGGGATGAAAGCAATGTGTTGGTCTCACAAGAGGAAGGGGTGGGGGAAGCCAGATTAAAAAAGGGCCAGGAAGAAACATAACAGATGGTTTACACATGGGTAGAAGATGAGAGAAATCTGGGGGATAGAGAGCTGAAGCAGGGCTCAACGAGGTTAGGATGGCAAGAAACTATTCACATGTTACGGTTTTAAAATAGCTGCTGTAGAGGTTATCAAAATGACATATCAATACAGATCTGCTGTAGCTGACTAAAAATGGATGGTTTGGGGATCTGTTTTTAACAGACTTCTGTTACCAGCATAATTTTATACATGCTGACCGGTGAGGGAACCTTGCAACAACTTGCTAGCACTCTGTCTCACTCACCTTAGGGAGTACCAGCAGGAAAAGAAACGAAAACTGTATTCAGTTCACCCATATTGTCCTAGCCCAAACTCAGATGACCTCAATAACTTAAAGAAGACGACCTTCAGTGACCTCTGTATTGTGCCCTGTTTGCCAGGAGACAAATGTACTTTCTGGGCTGATGAAATTCAACTCCCTCGTCAAGGCCCATGCCAAAAGCAGGCACCCATGTGGGAGGGCATCACGTAGACGATGGTCCTGCATAGTGGGGTACCCAGCCACAGCGGACATCTTATCCTACCTCCAAGTCCCGGGCGCAGTCGATTGTCGTAGCCGTCCAGCAGACCATCCAAGATCCTGGTAAATATAGTGATGTTATCATTGGTGTCCTCTTTCCCCGATGCTGTTGGCGTTTGTGAGAAGCTATTTTATGGAAATGGAAAGAAACACATCAAAAGCCACGCTGACATCAAGGGTCTTCAGTCTCATGGGAACTTTGCGATGGAGCCACTGGGCCTCTGCCCTCTCCTGCAGCTCCAGCTGAGTGGCACAGGGAGCTGGGGCAATTTCATCACTGCTATAAGCAATCATAAATAGCTCTCCCTGGAGGAGTAGGACCCAAGGAAGGACCCATGCCATGGAGGTACAGACCTGGGGAAATGGATGATGGGATGCCTAAGCCCACTGACCCTCTTGCCGTAACGGCACAGGGAGATCCCCATCCCCTTTGCTGCCCTGCCCCACCTCAACCCTACCCCTTCCCCGGAGCTGGCACATCTCCATCCCCTGCAAGGAGCAAGGTCAGCTTTTTGGGGCCAGCAAAAGCTGTTACTGGTTTGTGCCCCAGGTTAGCTCTCTGGTCTTTGGGAACTGATTCAGCTGGCAGGGGAGCTGCATGAGCAGCACGGGTTTGCCTGGGGACACTCCTTCATGTCTGCCTGAAGGTACTCTTTAATCCTTACCTACCAAACAGCTTCTAATTTCCAGTTTATGTAGTTTATATCCAGAATAAAGGATGAGCTCTAACCTTATTTGAGAATAACAAACTCCAATTGCATTCAAAAATCCCACCCCAGATCACTGGGATATCTGAAAAAAAACATTCTGCAGTACAGAAACACTGTTCTTCATTCCTCCTCTCTCTTTTGCATAAATTACTCCTCCATTGTAGTATGCAAATAACAGCAACATGTAGTGGGCCTCATTCCATATCTTTTGGGCCAGATTTGGTTTTATTCTGAACTCTTCTTTATTTCATTGTTTTATCCATGCCTCAAACCTAGGAAACTGCTCACAGCACATCTATAACTTGCATTTTTAAGAACATGTGATTTTCATTTAAAGATGCTTAGGAGAATTTCCTGCCTCCTAATGCCTTTTCTTACCTCTGCTTACCTAAACAACAGACACGTAAGTTTATCCATACGCATATTTCATCTGCAGCAAGCAACGAACATCTACTAAGACAGAAAGTCTGCTCACACTGAATGCTGATTCAAGCTTCAGTCTCTGCTGAAATCACCAACAAATGCTCCAGCTGCAACAGGGCACATGGCCCTCCCCAGGAACCATACTCTGCCTCATGCACCCTGCCAGCAGACAGGAATAATGCTCCAGCAACCTGAACTCGATGTGAGCCAGTCACCCAGAAATAAAAAAAAAAAATATTAAAAAAATTGAAATTCCATATTTATTTACAACCAGTGCCCAGGGAAATAATTCAGTAAATAAATAGAGAATCTCAATGCATCCCTCTGAACAGCTTGCCTTGCAGAATGCTTGTAACATCTGCGTCAGGCTTACCTAACAGGACAGGATTTATACAGAAGGAAAGACAAGGAACCTCTTTCTAGTTTTACCTGCACAAGGTTTACACTAAAGGGACCCTGCTGACATCCTTGTTGTGGGTCTGGAAGTTTTAGCGATACGACACCTTTTCCCAGGATGAGCTGCTGGTGGCCATGTAGCCCTTCACAGACACAGGGACCTCCATTCCTGTGCCTGTTCCCTTTACAGCTTGTGTGCTTCTGCTGGAAACAGAAAGGATTGCAAAACCTCTCAGGACTGGGAGCAAGGCTGGGCTGTGGGAACTCTGATCCAAATCCCTGGAACTCCAGAGCACATGCAAACCCCTGGCAAGGAGGCTCCTCACAGCACAAGTGCGATGCTGTGACCCTCAACAAGCTCGATGCTGGAGAGCCCAAGGCCACCAAGGAGCTTCCCTTCACTGCAAGCAGAGGCACAGCCATGAACCTCACTCATGTTTTCAGGCTGTCCCACATCTACATGCTCAAAAGAACAAATATTAATTCTGTTTTCTATACTGTGACCACAACATCTAGCAAGTAACTGAGGCAGACAACATTGCAGACACATTTGGCTGCAATGATAGCCAGTTAATCCAGCAGATGCAAATCAATTACAGAAACGTTAGAGATCCTTGCAGGCTGGACTGTTCAAGACAAAAGACTGTATTCCTTTTCGTCAGTTGCAATCAAAGGGATTCACCGCATCAAAGTGGATATTTACAAGCAGCAGCCTAACACATACACAGGAGACAAGTTACAGAGGCTCTTCCTATGCAGCGACCATAACTCATGTTTTGGTAAAATTCTATAATACTATTTTAAACTTTTCTCATTTATTTTAGCTTCCTTTTTTTTTCTTGTAAGAAAGAGATATGCATCATGCTGTTTGCCTGCTTCACCGTATCAATGTAGGAGCCCTTTTTCATTTTCTGATGCATCTGACAAAGAAGCAGAGAGATCAAACTTCATTTCATTCCTACAAGTTTCATGAGAAGCGGTGACTAGACAAGGGGAGAGTGATCTAAATTAGTGCCTCATTAAGTAAAAATGTGAGGTCAGCAGTCATCTATTCCCTCTGGCTCACTGACTGGGCCAGTCAGCACACATGTAGCTCAGAAACAGCCTCAACAAAACCAGCCCACCTTCTCTCTGCTAATTAAGAGATACAGAGGAGACTTGCAGAGTGATTAGGAAAGATCCTGGGAGAAAAGGACCGCAGAGGTAAAATGTAGATGTTGCAACGGGAGGTGGGAACAAGGGAGGCCAGATGCGGAGCCAGGATTATTGCAAAGGTACGGTGCTGGGGGCACAGCATACAAAGCTTCACCAGTTCCTCTGCACTTGAAAAAGCTTGTTATTTTTAGTGCTTATGGCTGAATTCAAAGCCAGTTGAACTCAGAGGAAAGATTTCCATTGAACTATTTTTGTGAGGATGGGACCAAATATACTTAGTTCTCATAACGGCTCCTCTTAATCTAACAAGTGTAATAGATGCTGCTTCCTTCTATCTCAGCTATGTACATCTTCCACGAGAATAGTATGCAAACCTCAAATGCTGAAAGGCTTTAACATCTCCACAAGAAACACTGATTAATAGATGAAAAAGATGGAGAAACAACTAGGGTGAAGACTCACAGAAAGTCTGTACTTCACCTGCAACACTACAAGCCGGTTTATATTTGGCAGATCGCCTCACCCGCAAAAGAAAGCATCTGATGCTGAATGTCAGAGAAATGTCAGTATCATGTGAAGTTGCATTTGTAGATGGATTACTGTTTGCCATTAATGCAAACAATGCTTTTTCTTTCACAGAAAAGTTAGTGTTTAATTTTGAGATTGCTGGTGAAATAGCAGCTCACTTTTTGGAGTAAGTGCTGAGGTTGTCTTTTATGACATGAGACTTTTAAACTGCACTTGCAAAGTTAGGTGCATATATTAGATGCTATAGCTCTACTAATAGTGAGAAAACAGGTGATATCCTAAATTATTTCCACTCAGTCAGACATTATGTTTTATCAACATATTAGTAAGTGAGCACATTATTGCCTCTCTGCAACCAAGAGATGTTTTATAGCAGACACTTTCAGTTATGGATAAAAATAAACCTAGAAAAGAACTTTAGGAAAATGCTAAGAAAATTCAAAGATAATTACATTTAAAGCTCATTACTGAACATAAACTAAACCAACCAGGAATACTTCTCATCACATTTATTTAATATTGCAATTTCAGGGTGACTGAAAAAATCCAAAGCCACAGATGAGGCCCATCAGTGTAAAATGTAATAACTCTCTAAAGATTCTCAGCTACCTCTTCTGAGGAGTTCTTCGCTTACCATTTGAAAGATCGTTGTCTTTTTTGCCATCTAGTCAAAATCATGACAGGTACTATTCATAGCTTAGTCGTAATAGAGGAAAACGTATGGTAGATATTTCATGATTCTCCCAAAACTTAAAAAAAAAAAAAAGAAAGTGACACCTGAAAAAATAACTGAGGAGTATTTTGCGACTTAAAGTTTGGGGTTTTTTTCTCTCTCTCTCGAGTTTCCAATAGCTTGGTTTGATAGGTTTGGAATTATACCAGAACTTCAGGCAAATCAACAGTTTGTGGAAGAGACAAGAATGCACTTGCACACTTTTGGATACTGTCTACTGGCCAGACATGAAAAGATTTACTTTTCTAAGTTAGCTTCTTACTATCCCTTTCTTACAGATTCTTGAGACCTGAAAATTCTGATATGTTGTGAATTTGTGCAATGAAGATTCGATTCTTCCACATCATTAGGATAGGGGAGAGAACTGACTGAAAGTAATGAAACTTTAATGGTCTTGGCAGATCCTTAAAGAATAATTTAATTCTTTATTTAGCAAGAGCAGTGTTTTACTACCTTGTGGGAACAAGCAATTTGTGAGCAGTGCAATGAAAGCCTGTTTTTCATAGGGCAACGTCTTATCATCCTCACCCCCTTGCACCGTAACACCCCGTTCAATATCCTGAATTTCTCCCAGTCGTTGAACACTTCCCAGTACTCTCATCTCCCCAAGTCACTCAGCTGCAGCTTCACTAGGAGGCAACGGCAATGCATGCCAGGGCTGATCCTGCACCAAGCACGTGTTGGACAGCCTGCACATACGTTCCTGCTGTTTGGCCAGCCGGCAGGGCAAGCGAAACAGAGATGCTGAAGCAGGAGCTTTCTGTTTGGCAGAGGGATTGACTGACACCTGTCTGCCTCCTCCAAGCAGTTCTAGGTACCCACTTAGTTTTCCAATTATTAAAATTGTCTAGTGGGTTCAAAAAGCTATCTGGAGACGTGGAGGAGGAAAGGAAAACAGAATAAAAATAAATAAATGGCTCAGTATGACTGCATAAGCATATGATAATTCTTACGTTAGTCTTAAAAATATGAGGAAGAACTCCCTAGCATCTGCAAGTACTTGGGAAGGGATAATGCAGCAGAACTAACTGCTTAGGGCTGCAAAGACTAACTTCAAATAACAACCTGAAGGAGAGGTATGTTTAGCCTAAATAGCAGGATTAGGTCTTAGTGATAAGGATTATGAGCTAGTAGGAATGTATGTGAAACTACAGACAAGCCATGGTCTGAAAGCTTACAGTGTACAGAGAAGTGTTGCACTAGCTACATTTAATTGAGATCTTCTGTTTTCTGTGTTTCTACTATTATAAATATTATTAGCAGATGGCAACTAAGCTGTGGTTACACCAATAACATCCATCCCCCTTGGTTTCGGCTCTTGGGCAGTTTTCTGAAACTGCACATCTAAAATGCAAACACACAGGGACTGTGCGTCACTAGCACGTCCCCAGAGATGTCCCCATGGACAGTCTGGGGCTTGCAAAAAAGATTTAGGATGCAGCAAATTTGGCCGGCATGGGGCTGATGTCCTCCTCTCAGGGACATCTCAGTGCAGGCAGTCACCCATCGTGCCAGCTCGTGCAGACTCGCAACTGCGTGAGCTCCCCGAGGGCCAGAAAGTGCGAGATGCTGGGCAATGCGACAGCACCCAAATTATTTTGAATTTCCACTGCCCCAGCACCCACCTTCTGCTTGGTTTTGTCAGCCTGACTTTGTGGGCCTCGCACTCATGAAGTTGTGACCGAATTCAGTGCAATCCTTCACATAAAACAAATGGGAGGAATCAGCCTCTTGTCTCTTCTGGAAACACTCTTCACAGTTATATTTGGCTTTTAATTGTTTTCTAGTTCTGTTATTACTATTTACTTTCAAGACAATTGTGAACTATCGTGAAATACTTCAGTAAAATACCTTGACTCGTTAGAGCATTACCCAACTCAAGGCTGAATTCAAGCATGTTTGAAAAAGCCTTGACTCGTGCTGGACCGTTTCTGCAGAAGTAGACTCATAAAACCGTTACACCAATGATGGTGGCGGGGCTTCGCATCCTCTTTGCGTGTTATCTGTATCTTTGAATTTTAATTCAGTGATTTTCCTCTAAATGACTTCTACCAGCTATGCCTACAGTCCTTCTCTACCGCCTATTGATGTGGGTAACTCTCGATAGTCATTCCACATTTATGTTAAACATTAATCACAGACTTTTGCTGAGATTTCTGAAGTAGCCTAGGAGACTGAGATACATAATTCCTGTTTATTTTACCAGGCATGGTGCATCAAAATCCCCCAAGGTGGCTTTGGCTATGTCAGCAAAAACTGTATTTATGATTTAATATAAATATGGAATGACTATGGAGAATCATAGACAAATCTATGCCTTCATCTGTAATGTCCTACTGTATTCTGCTTTTTAATTTGCACTCGTTTGACCGATCACTTTTATCTAGCACATTGCAAAACACACTGCAATGTAACAATGCAGTCCAAACATGGATGAAGCTAGTAAAGAAGAACCTGGTAGCAACAGCAACTATTATCAGTATTAGATTCTTGCAGTTAATATACCAGCCTACATGTAAATTGTACCATTCTGTCCCGAAGAGTCAGTCCCAAAGCACTTAGCAAATTATACTCTGAAACTGCTTCTGCCTCTGAAACAGAAGTGCTGTAGCATCCTCTGTCTTTTGAGCAGGGTCAAAATTCAGCCCTAAGGCAACGTGTGAATGGTGCAGCGAATCGGAGCTGCTTATCTCTGCAGGCCCAGACTAAAATTACTAGAACAGAAATGGGGGGGCAGAGGGGAGTGTTACGTGATGATCTCATTTTAGTGCACAGAAGCTTTTTGAGTAACTCGCAGAAAACAAGTGTCCTAGTTCCCCTAACTGTCCTGTTCTGATTATCTCCCAGGTTATGGGTCACATCGAATCCTACCTGGGACTTGGATTGAGTATTTGCTTTGGAGTAGAAAGGGAGAGTTAAGCCCTCTTTTTTGGCAGCCTCGCCTACCTACTCTTCTGTTAGAGGAGTAACACAGTTAAAAGGCCACACACCAAACAGGTCATGCTCAACTACTGCAACATGCTGCCTTCTGTGAAGAAGATAGGCATTCAAAAGGACTTAAGATTACAGTCCTCAAGATTTTCTCAGTGTGGTAATACTTGGTCAAATTACAACCCTGCCAAGACAAGTTTAAAACCAGTCATACACTATCTAAGCCATCTTCACGTCTACCACAAAGTCCAGGGAGAGTTTTGCCTTAGACCACAGTGAAAGCAGGACCAAGCTTTTCCAAGGTGAATAAATCAGTATGCAGCTCTTTGCACCCTTTGTGGTGCACAGCAGTCCTACCGCCATTCATATAAGCCACTGTGGTCACAGGCCTCCTGTCTCCACAGGACACACGCTGGAGACAGAGCTAAGTTTTCCTTACAGCATAGACAGTCATCACTCCAAGTTCAGTCTTTCTCCTAGTTCCAATGTGGAAAAAATGCCTTTGCTTGAAATCAGAAACTGATTTGCATCTCCATTTTGTATCTTCTTATAGCAAGGAATTGATGGGTGTGCTTGTGAATCAGCACGTAGGGAGGCTTCATTTTTTTCTGGTGAAATCATAAATAATTGTTCTCCTCCACAAAGCAGAATCAACCTACGTTTCCAGAGCACTTGCAAAATGCTTTTTCTAGACTCCATTGCATAGCCCGATTTTGGAAAGTTCTTAAGATCGCTGGCGTTAGGAAAAAACATATAAATAGGGGTTTTCTGTTTGTTTCTTTTTTTTTTTCTTAAGAGCTATAGTAGGAGTATTTCTCCAATACGGTTTTAAGAACATCACCATCAGGAAAGCATCCAAAGCAAAAATAAGAAAACAGGTTTCTTTGTTACATGCTTCAGGGAAACACAATATATTCTAGCAAGTTTCAAACTCAGTCATCCTTCTGAGCAGTCACGATCTTGGCTTACTCACTAGGAAAGCCTGTACCAGCTAGCAGCATGCACGCAGGCCGGCTGTTGGTGTGTACCAGCCCTGCACCACTGTCTATCGCCTGCACTCGCCAGGTGAGAGGGAAGGTGCAAGCCCTCCCCATGGCTGCCACGGGGGCAGGCAGCACCGCAGCCCCCGGCTGTGCTACCCCCAGGTCAGAGCACGCAGCAGCTGTAGGCCTGCTCCGAGCTCCCCCAAGTCTTCCTGCAAGGGTGCTAGGGGCGTAAAGAATGGATAGGAGACAGGAGATTTGAGCAGGAAAGGGAATCGCTCCTTCCCCCTGACACCAGCACGTTAAGATGAAATGCAAAGCCCGCTTGTTTTGTTTGGCTGTTCCGCACTGCACGGAGCCAAGGTTTTTCATTTCCTTAAAAAAACCCACAGCAGTAAAATTCAAACATGATTGGCAACTCACCCAAAGTGGCTGGCCAAACTCATGGAAACGCAGAAGAGGAAGAAGTTTTTGATCATGATAAAGCCAGAGACCATCCCATTGTCCATTCCAGAGGAGAGGAGGAACGCAGGTGGTGGCTTTGGTAGAGGTGCAGCTGCTCACTTTGTTCTTACGCTGCAACAATACAGAAAAAAAAGAGATCATTTATTACACGGACAAACAGCAGGATAGCAGAGTTCAGCTAAACCGCATCTTCTGCGATCTGTGTTTTTCACAAACTTATCTAGGCTTATGTAAACATCAGCTGTTTATGTAAAATTGTATATCTTCAAGGACATGTTTTACCTTCTGCTGACAGCAAACTGCAAAACAGGAAAAATTCTTAGTGGCCCAGTTTTCCCTTATTTTTGTCCATCATATAAGTAACTAAAGAAATAGTTACCATTTCCCAAATGCCAGTTTCGACCCTTTACCTATTTCGACAACTTCCATACGCCTGCAAACCCAGGGCTGCGTGCAGCCTCCGCATCCCTTCCTTCCATCGCAATTTTTTCCCATTAAATACCCATCTTCCCTTTCCAAAAATCCCAGTTGAAATGCCAAGAAACACCTACAGCTTCTTGGAATTCACACTGCTGATGCACAGCTTAGCAAAACGAGGGGGGCACTGGGAGGGATGGGGGG